ACACCCCCAGGAGAGACTCTAGAGAGATACTCCACACCCCCAGGAGAGACTCTAGAGAGATACTCCACACCCCCAGGAGAGACTCTAGAGAGATATTCTATTCCTACTGGAGGACCAAACCCCACTGGTACTTTTAAAACATATCCATCAAAAATAGAAAGGGAAGACAGTACACCAAATGAGCATTTCTACACACCTACAGAAGAGAGAGGTTCAGCTGACGAAATATGGCGTTCCGATTCATTTGGCACACCCAATGAAGCCATTGAGCCAAAAGACAATGAAATGCCTCCATCTTTTATTGAACCTCTGACCAAAAGGAAGGTGTATGAAAACACAACACTAGGCTTCATTGTTGAAGTTGAAGGTCTTCCAGTTCCTAGTGTGAAGTGGTATCGAAATAAATCTTTACTAGAGCCAGATGAAAGAATCAAAATGGAAAGGGTGGGTAATGTATGTTCACTGGAAATTTCAGACATTCAAAAAGGAGAAGGGGGAGAGTACATGTGTCATGCTGTAAACATCATAGGGGAAGCAAAGAGCTTTGCAAATGTAGACATAATGTCCCAAGAAGAAAGAGTGGTGGCACTCCCACCTCCAGTAACACATCAGCATGTCATGGAGTTTGATTTGGAAAACACCACATCATCAAGAACACCTTCTCCTCAAGAAATTGTCCTGGAAGTTGAATTAAGTGAAAAAGACGTTAAAGAATTTGAGAAGCAGGTGAAAATAGTGACAGTTCCTGAATTTACTCCTGACCATAAAAGTATGATTGTGAGTCTAGATGTTCTTCCATTTAATTTTGTAGATCCAAATGTGGATTCAAGGGAGGGAGAAAACAAAGAACTAAAAATTGATTTAGAAGTATTTGAAATGCCTCCTCGCTTTATAATGCCTGTTTGTGATTTTAAAATTCCAGAAAATTCAGATGCTGTGTTCAAATGTTCAATCATAGGCATCCCTACTCCCGAAGTTAAGTGGTATAAAGAATATATGTGTATTGAGCCAGATAACATTAAATATGTGATTAGCGAGGAGAAGGGAAGTCACACTCTTAAAATTAGAAATGTCTGTCTTTCTGATAGTGCAACATACAGGTGCAGAGCTGTGAATTGTGTAGGAGAGGCTATCTGTCGTGGATTCCTCACCTTGGGAGATTCCGAAATATTTGCTATGATAGCAAAGAAAAGTAAAGTGACTTTAAGCAGTTTGACAGAAGAATTGGTCTTAAAGAGCAACTACACAGACAGTTTTTTTGAATTTCAGGTGGTGGAAGGGCCTCCCAGGTTTATCAAAGGTATTTCTGACTGTTACGCACCAATAGGTACAGCGGCATATTTTCAGTGCTTAGTTCGTGGCTCTCCAAGACCCACGGTTTACTGGTACAAAGATGGGAAATTGGTCCAAGGAAGAAGGTTCAGTGTTGAGGAAAGTGGCGCAGGGTTCCACAACCTGTTTATAACAAGCTTAGTAAAGAGTGATGAAGGAGAGTACAGGTGTGTAGCTACAAACAAATCAGGAATGGCTGAGACCTTTGCAGCACTCACCTTAACTTAAAATGTAATGTTTTAGTGCCTCAGTAATTATTAGAATTGATCTGAGTGCTTTCATATTTTCCAAATTGTATGGATCTAATAAACTTCCAAACAGGTCCACTATATTTGAATTCATTATCTTGGAGACCGCTGGAGAAATAATCTCTGTGTAGAAATCTCATCTTTGTAACACATGTAAATATTTTGTTATCTGAACTGTGGAATCATCACTTGAGTCAATCATGCTGTGTAACATCAAACACAATTAAATCTCTTCTTGGCTACCTAATTATTTGTACTTCTATTTACCCTCATGCCTCCTCCACAAAGTGTTTCAGTGGAATGGACTCTCTTTTAGCAGATAAACCATATATGCAAAAGTACAATGTAAACGTGGAGACCATATCAGATGACCACGCAGACAAATTGGTAAGGGCAAATCTCCTCTCTGCTCCCATTCTAAGTTATTTTTGGATTTGTAACCCCTTTGCATCCAAACCCATGTTTATTTACTTCGACTTAGAATAGGCAAAACAAACAATAAAAACCAGCTTCTCCCAATTGGCAACTAACTCTATAATTTGTTTGCCATTTCAATCTTAATATATTAACTTCATCTCTTTTAAAAATATTTTCATTATTAATATTCCTCTACATAAGTGCTTTAATTGTCACTGGCTTCAAGGGACCAATTGTGCTCTTTGTGCGCAGGATTCACCTAGACATTTGCAGAATAAGCAGATAAAGATCTTTCCACTTTTGGAGATACCTTATTTTTCTCAATTTTTGAGATGACATCAAGTGTAAAATGCAGCAATAATTTAGTATTGGCCTGGGGAAAAAAAGGGAAACTATCACATTGTGTTTACATATAGATTTCAAAACTGTATTCTGATTTCAGAATCTTTAAAATTTAAAAAAAAGGTGGGATATTTTTAGAATTGAGTCAATATGGCAATTTGTATTTCAGATTATATGTAAATAACAAGATATCAAGCTTTCCTATCAGTTTCACTGAATTTCATCTTTAAAACTAATATAGCTTAGTAAGCATTCAATTTTTATTATGATATTTATGTTTCTAAAGTAACTCTTTAATTTTGTCTTTTAAAATTAAAATAACAGTAAATTAACATACTCCTTAATATCTTACCTATATACTAACATGGACCTAAGTCTTCTCATATAAGACTCGACAAATATAAACAAATTCTGAAAATGAAGGGTAGGAACAAAAGACCTTAGAGACGATCATTCAACAATAGAGTTCTGTGTCATCCTGATAGTAATTATTCTTAATACAATTTAGAATAAACTTTAATTTTGTAACAAAGGACAAGAGAAAGAATACTACAATGAAAGATAAATTTTATCTCCCTCCACCTCTTAAATTACTTATTGTTACTAAATGGCTATATTTGTCACCTGCGTTCAGCAATACTTAAGTACCATGATCATGTTTAAAATACTAATTTTAATTTAATTTGAAATATAAACACTTTAATTTTCCAAAGAATTCATATCCAATTATGTTTATTATGTTTCCTTCATCTATCAATCTTTATTCTCAACATGGGAATTCTCTAACAGCTATCCAAATTAAAGAAGCAACAGAGACAATGTATAGAAAGTAGGCAGAGCAGTCAGGTTTCCCATGCCTTCCTCACAAAAAAAAATTTGATTTATCTGTTTGAGCCACCATAACTCATCAGCATAGATATACTATTGTAGAACAATCATTCCTGTTCCAACCAGTGAGCATACAATATCTATGATAATAATTATAGACATAATGTAATGTATCACATCACAAATTCCTGAAATAAAACTAATTCTATAGATTAGGAACTTAAGGATTTATTCTGTGCTTAGTCACGTAATGCATGTTAAAATTAATGAGAGACTCAGATTGAAGCAAACATGACAAGCATGCTTTACTCAATCATCATACAGCACAGCAACAGTTCAAACCTTGTTTCTTTAAAAAAAAAAAAAAGAAAGAAAGACAGAAACCGAAAAATGTTTTAATGTCCTACTGGATCTTAGGAAGAGCTGAAAAACACTTTTATTCATATAAGAAGGAGGGCTTTGTTTGATTTTGCTCATTAAAATTCTGTAATTCTGTTAGTTTCAAGTACAGTGAACTTGAGTATATGCAGAATAACAGTGACCGAATAAAGAAAAGTAAGCCTTGGCTTACTTTAATCGTCATAGATAATGAAATGGAATTTTTTATTTTCTGACTCAATGGTACATAACATAAAACCCTGAAATATTAGTTTCTCTGATTCTAGATACAGAATTTATTGTATTGCAGATAGTTGAGTTTAGACAATTAATAGCTGCTACCACTACATGTAATTTTTTAAACTATGCCTTTCAAGTTTCAGCACGTTTGAATTTCATTTACTATCCTTTTTATGGCTAATAATACCATGGCTTGAAGGGAAAACATTTGAAAATATTTCAACATACTAGTGAGTAAGGGTATTTTAACTGTATTCACGTTCATTACCTTTACAGATATTTTGTGAGTTCAAGTGAAGGGAAAGGTAACATGAATTATATATTGTAGATTAAATGCAAAGTTAAGTGATCACCATTAATATGTAAAATTATCAATGGTTTTATGGTTTACTTAAAATAATAAATACCTGAATATGTATTCTGCATGCTATAGATGAGTTTCTCTAGTATTTTTATAGCCAGCAGATACTTGAGTCCTGACTTCTAATGCTTGTATGCTAGAACAGAAAGGAATTAAGGTGTAAGTCTATTTTATGTGATGCAAGTGAAGTCACCAAATAAAATCATAAAACTGCCTTTTGCTAAGGCAATAAAACTACTAATAACAGGCCTGTTCTACATCCCTAACAGGTTTAATAAAAAATCAAATTGTTTAAAATTACATGTCTTTCATCCTGTCATCCAGGATACTGTTTAAAGAGTCTCTGTTATGCACTGCTTTGTTTCTTACTCAGTGGTTCTGTATAGGTTTTCTTATACAATAAAATACAAGGAACTTTTAATATTGGAGTTGTTTTCTCTTATTTTTGATTCTCTTATTTTCTTGGCTAATGCCTTACGTAAAGGCTTTGTTCAAGTAATATGGTGATTTACACAGGTGAAAGAAGGCCTGCATTTCTAGAAACTGAAAACAGTGGTTTTCTTACAAATCCAAATTAAACATTTCCTGTAGCCTCTTATTTTTAATAATGACTTTAGAGGCAGTAATTAGAACATCAATGTTTTATTTTGGAAATAATCAGTCTTTAACAAAGAAGATTATTCTTAAACTCAAGAAAACTCTAAATATAAATAACAATTCTGGATTTTTTAAGAAGTCGATTTAAATAATGCTGGATTATTATAACTAATCAGCAGTTTTTCAAACTTTAAAATTGGAATTATATCTCAAGAAAAACTCATGGGAGCATTTTTAAAACTTATGAACTCTAACACAGATGAAGTGGATCAAAAATTGCATTTGTACAGTATCTATAATTTTGTGTAATTTTTTATGTTAAGCTAAGAAAAATTTAGAAATGTGCTTTTTGATAAATTAATCTTGTAATAATCTAATCATTCCAGGAATAAAGCAGAAGAAGGCCATCAACTGGTATCTAATTCTTTGGTTTCTATTTTTTATTAAATAAAATTTTGTAGTAAAATAATAATCATTTTTCCCCATACAGAGTTTGCTAGTTCTTTTCTGTCTGCCGAGGAAGAAGAACTTCATAGCTCTGAACTTCATTTATCTAATATAAATGAAACACTTGAACTTTTGTCTGAACCTCCAGTTTACTCAACTAAATTTGATTCCAAAAAGGAAGGCGCTGTCCCAGTTTTCATCAAAGAAGTGTCAAGTGCTGATACAAGCATGGGGGATGTGGCTACACTGTCTGTAACTGTCATTGGCATCCCCAAACCTAAAATTCAGTGGTTCTTTAATGGAGTGCCATTAACCCCTTCTGCTGACTACAAATTTGTTTTTGACGGTGATGATCATAGCCTGATCATTCTGTTCACCACATTGGAGGATGAGGGAGAGTATACATGTATGGCTAGTAATGACTATGGACAAGCAATATGTAGTGCCTATCTAAAAATAAATTCCAAAGGAGAAGGTCACAAAGACACAGAAACAGAATCAGCAGTGGCAAAATCTCTGGAAAAGCTTGGAGGTCCTTGTCCTCCTCACTTCCTTAAGGAGTTAAAAGCAGTTCGCTGTGCTCAAGGACTTCCTGCCATCTTTGAGTACACAGTAGTTGGAGAGCCTGCCCCTACTGTTGCATGGTTCAAAGAAAACAAGCAGCTATGCACCAGTGTTTATTACACTATCATTCATAACCCTGACGGCTCTGGGACTTTCATTGTCAATGACCCTCAAAGGGAAGACAGTGGCCTCTATATCTGTAAAGCAGAGAATATGCTGGGTGAGTCCACCTGTGCAGCAGAACTTCTTGTGCTTCTGGAAGACACAGACATGACTGATACCCCCTGCAAAGCAAAGTCCACACCGGAGGCTCCTGAGGATTTTCCACAGACACCCTTAAAGGGTCCCGCAGTTGAAGCAGTTGACTCAGAGCAGGAAATTGCAACGTTTGTAAAAGACACCATTTTGCAAGCTTCTTTAATTACAGAAGAAAACCAGCAACTATCTTATGAGCATATTGCTAAAGCCAATGAATTGAGCAGTCAGCTTCCTTTGGGAGCTCAGGAATTGCAATCCATTTTGAAGCAAGACAAGTCCACTCCTGAAAGCACCAGGGAATTTCTTTGCATCAATGGCAGTACTCACTTTCAGCCTCTCAAGGAACCCTCTCCCAACCTACAACTGCAGACTGTACAGTCCCAGAAAACCTTCTCCAAAGAAAGCATTCTAATGCTTGAAGAGCCTGAGACACAGGCGGTTCTATCAGAGACTGAGAAAATCTTCCCAAGTGCCATGTTCAGAGAACAAATTAATTCATTAACAGTTGAGCCTCTGAAAACTGTATTAACTGAACCTGAAGGGAATTATCCACAGTCTTCAATAGAACCTCCAGTGCATTCCTATCTAACCTCTGTGGCTGAGGAAGTGCTTTTACCAAAAGAAAAGACAGTGTCTGATGCCAACAAAGACCAAAGAGTGACTCTTCAAAAGCAAGAGGCACAAAGTGCACTCATCTTGAGTCAGAGCTTAGCAGAGGGACACGTGGAGAGTCTCCAGAGTCCTGATGTCATGATCTCTCAGGTAAACTATGAGCCCCTAGTCCCTTCAGAACACTCATGCACAGAAGGAGCTGAAATTTTGATAGAAAGTGCAGATCCACTGGAAAATGCAGGGCAAGATTCTGCGGTGAGAATTGAGGAAGGCAAGTCCTTAAGATTTCCGCTAGCACTTGAAGAAAAGCAGGTACTGCTCAAAGAAGAGCATTCTGACAATGTGGTGATGCCCCCAGACCAAATCATTGAGTCTAAAAGAGAGCCTGTGGCGATAAAGAAAGTGCAGGAGGTACAGGGAAGGGACATTCTTTCTAAGGAAAGCTTGCTTTCTGGTATTCCAGAAGAACAGCGATTAAATCTGAAAATTCAAATCCGCAGGGCTTTGCAAGCAGCTGTGGCCAGTGAGCAGCCAGGTCTTTTCTCTGAGTGGCTAAGAAATATTGAAAAGGTGGAGGTCATGACCGTAAACATCACCCAAGAGCCCAGACACATCATGTGCACGTACCTTGTTACTTCAGCAAAGTCTATAACAGAAGAAGTAACCATCATTATTGAAGATGTTGATCCTCAAATCACTAACCTGAAAATGGAACTTAAGGATGTTTTGTGTGCTATTATATATGAGGAAATAAGCATCCTAACAGCTGAGGGTCCTAGAATTCAGCAAGGAGCCAAAACAAGTTTGCAGGAAGAAATGGATTCTTTTTCAGGTTCACAGAAGGTTGAACCCATTACTGAACCAGAAGTTGAATCTAAATATCTTATCTCAACTGAAGAGGTCAGGTATTTTAACATGCAAAGTCAGGTTAAATATTTGGATGCCACAACTGTCACTAATGGGGTTGCTTCAGCTGTTGTCTCTGATGAGAAACAAGATGAGAGTTTGAAACCACCAGAGGAAAAAGAGGAGTCCTCCTCTGAAAGTGGTACTGAGGAGGTTGGTACAGTAAAGATACAGGAACCTGAGGGTGGCTTAATCAAAGAGGATGGCCCCGTGATACATACACCCTTAATGGACACTGTTTCTGAGGAAGGTGACATTGTACACCTCACAACATCCATAACAAATGCTAAAGAGGTGAATTGGTATTTTGAGAATAAACTGGTGCCTTCAGATGAAAAGTTCAAGTGTTTACAAGATCAAAATACGTATACGCTAGTCATCGACAAGGTAAATACCGAAGATCATCAAGGAGAGTATGTCTGTGAGGCCTTGAATGACAACGGAAAAACAGCAACTTCAGCCAAACTCACTGTAGTAAAAAGAGGTTGGATTTTAAGGATGAAATAGATCAAGTGTTAACATTCACTGGATTGTAATGATTTAGCTTGCACCACTTAAATTTTCACTTATCTGCCACTTCCAGAATGTAATTTATTTAGAGTAAGAATGAAATCACAGACATAATCATGGTTATGAACTCAGCTTTTCCCTTACTGCCCTGTTGGGTGCTATGCTATCATATCCATGGTACTACTTATGTTAAAAATAAATCATCTTTTCATATGTTTCATAATACCAATAGAGAAGCTTTTTAGTTTATTTTCATATGAGGATAACTTTCATAATATGTAATAAAAAGTATCAGTGAACACCTAGCCACTGTGAAATCACTGGTCTCGCCCTAGATTCAAAATAACCATGATTAGTTGTCTGTTTCTTCTTTCTATTTATTTTTTGCTGTTGTTTCACTTCATCACTTTATTTAGTATATCATGTTTCTTCACATGATTGTCAGTGTTACCATTCAGCATGGTATATTTAAAGAATATATCATGTTGTTATGCATGTAATCCAATAGCGTCACATTTTTTTCACAATTCACTGCAGAGCAATGATTGAATATGTTTTTATTTTTAAAAAAAAGCTTATTGTCTTCTTTTGCCTTCAATGATCTTTCTCATTTTCCAGTCACTTGTCTTAAACTGCTGTAATCCATCTCACCAATTTCAACTGTTTTACTCCATTAACAGCAACAAAAGTTAGAAGAAAGAGAAAAATGTCATATGCCTGGTAAGGAGGCATGTTAATGGACTCTACTTCCCTTTGCAGCTGCCCCAGTGATCAGGAGGAGAATCGAACCCCTGGAAGTAGCACTGGGCCACCTAGCCAAATTCACCTGTGAGATCCAAAGTGCTCCGAATGTCCGGTTCCAGTGGTTTAAAGCTGGCCGAGAAATTTATGAGAGTGACAAGTGTTCTATTCGATCTTCAAAATATGTCTCCAGCCTTGAAATCCTAAGAACCCAGGTGGTTGACTGCGGCGAGTATACATGCAAAGCTTCCAATGAGTATGGCAGTGTCAGCTGTACAGCCACACTAACTGTGACAGGTAAATGCCATACATTGGCACAGATGTTGTCACTTCATTTCATATGGTTGTCCTTTTTGCTTTTTGTACATGTGTGGGAAATGCTTGTATTACCAACTGGAGAGACCAATAACCAAGACGGTAACATGGTAGGTAGGTATTGCAGAGCCTATATGGGATAAGGAATCATTATTTACAGTCATATTTCCACCACTGACCAAAGAAAAAATAATTTATTATTTGAGAACAATGTTAAGTAATCAAACGAGCTCACCTTGGCCCTTCATATAAAACATATCAGGACAGTTTGGTGCTACTAAAAAGAAAAAAAATGTATCAATGTATTTAAAAATTTTTAATCAAATAACCAATTAAGAGCAGAATTACAAACTTAAAAAAAGTCAATGGCTAGTCTAAAATTAAATCCTTATGTAAGACAGGGAGCTAGTACAGGACTGAAAACTAGGATTCTCACTCTAGGCATTTTTACTAATTTAAAAATAAGACGGCTGGGCACAGTGGCTCAC